TTGGCAGTAGGCGGTCTCTCAAGTACCCAGGTCCAGTACCATGAAGGGCTTTATAGGGGATAAGAAGCACCTTGAAGGGAACCCAGAGACCGACAGGCAGCCAGTGCAGCTCACAGAGGATAGGTGTTACGTGGGTGAAACGGGGTGCACCCACAATCGCTCGCGCGGCCGCATTCTGGACTAGCTGAAGTCACCGAATGCTCTTCAAGGGCAGCCCCATGTAGAGCACATTGCAGTATTCCAGCCTAGAGGTCACAAGGGCACGAGTGTGTTTGGTAGTTGCCCTGTCATCCTTCTTCCTTCCTTCTCCCATTTAAAAAAAACCATACATTTGATTTGTCTGTGGAATTGCTCAGTGATCCAGGTCATGGTTATCCCGAAGGAGCTTTTTCCAAAGGCAACTAGAATTTCTTTGGTTTTTTTTTTCTGAAAACGCTTCTAAAAAATTGAAGAAGCTACTTGGATGAGAAGCGAAACATTTTTAAAAACAGCAAAAACAACAACCAGAAAGTCCAGTTGGGTTTTGGAAAAGCATCTTTGGGATATAAATTTTATAAGTCTATTATATATACTTATATTTTATAACTTTTAAAGAGAACATTAAAAATTAACACCCACTAATATAGAAGAAAGAAAACAAAGCAGAAAGAAAAGACCAAAGTGCGGAGTGCGGGGAACAAGAAAGAAGAATGGTTCTAGTTCAGATGGTATCAATCTTGTGCCTTTTCTTCCTTTGCTCCTTCTACTCAGGGCTTCTGTGGGCACTTTGGGTGGGGGCAACCCAGCCAGAAATAACAAAGGAGTTTCTTGGCAGGCGCTGATTGATGTGGCATTTTTCTGACATAATGCTGAGTGGGAACACAGCAGGTGTTTGTGGGAGGCCCACAGCCAACCTCCTGTTAAAATGAGCAGCTCTTTGAATGTGGAAACGTAAGAGGCCCCCTCTGCCCAGCTTCCCCCCTTGGGCCTCTGTCAGAAATGCTGAGGTGTTTGTCAAAGTTGTGAGAGGAGTAATGGCTCAGTATCCAACCCATCTCAGAGAGGCCGTGTTTGGAAACTGCTTGGAACTCCCACATCTCTTCCTAGTAACTTGCTCAGTTATTTACTAGTGACTAAAGAGAAATTTCCTCATGGTGAGAAAAACCAACCAGTGGAATGCCTTGTTTTCAGAAGTTGTGGGTGCCCCATCACTGGAGGCTCTCAAAAGGAGACTGGACAGCCATTTGTCTGAAATGGTATAGGATTTCCTGCCTGAGCAAGGGGTTGAACTAGATGACCTCTAAGGTCCCTTCCAACTCTGCTACTCCATGTTATTCTATGTTAGTTTTCATTTTGGGTCTGATGAATTTGCTTTCAGAGCAGCTCTGGCGATAGGTTCTTGGGTAGTATAGTCTTGTCTTTTGACAGGCAGGTGAAATTGATGTATATGTGAATGACTTCTCCATTGTGCAATCATTGTCCATCAATTTGCATTCGCCTTGGCTTTCTGGCTTCCTTTTGAACCCCAAGGAAAAATGTCAGGATGAAAGCAATCCCATAAACCTCTTTTAGACTGAGAAACATGGGCAGTTGAGAAGGAAGAATGAGCCATAGAAAATAATTCACCTTCAGGAGTGCAGTAACACAAGCTCAAAATTACCACCAGAATGAATTTGAAATCCCTTCTCAGGGGCCATGAGAGTAAGGTAGAGAAAACAGGCTGTTGCAGAGAAGAGAGCAAGACAGAATTCAGCAGAATGTTGGTGGTGTAGGGCAATGTTTTCCAAGTTGATCCATGACTAATTGCCACATGGATTTCACAACATTAAGCTAGACCTGCTATCTGAGGTCAGTAAAGAAGTCTGGTGTAATTTAAATCAGGCTGTTCTATTGAACTCCGATGTGAGGGGATACGTGACTGAAGATGTTCTCCAAAGATCACCTCTAGACTGTGGTCTTCTCCCAAAGAAACCTGATCAGCCTTTCCAAGGGCTCTCCAGATTTGTGGGTATCAACTCTCATCACACCTTGAAACTAAATCATACAATGATTGACAAAGGAAGCAACCATGCTCAGCCTCCCAAAGAGAAGGATTAGGGGAGACCTGATAACCGTCTTCCAGCACTTGAGGGCCACAAAGAAGAAGAGGTTGACCTATTCTCCAAAGCATGTGAGGGCAGGACAAGGAGCAATGGGTGGAAGCTCATCAGAGGGAGATGCCAACATTATGCCCTGATTTAATAATAAATTATGATGCCCCCAAGGAGGCAACTAGGTTTGTTCGTTCTCTCTCTCTCCCTCCCCCCCTCTCGCTCTGAAATCAATGGTATAGTCTTGCAATGGAAAATACAGCACAAGGTAGAAATCAATACAATTGACTCCAACACTTCTTTAATTTTTGTTTTGCAAAAGATTGATCCTTGCTCCCCCTGGCAGGACTCGCACTCACACTTGTGCCCACACAGATACACCCAGGCCATTGAATAAGTATTCATAAACACATTCTAGAGTTTAATTACCTGCAGAAGATTCTGTTATGAGAAAAAACATCGTGATGGGATCCAGTCCAAAGAAAGTAGATTAACGTTAACTTCTTTGCACTTTGCACTTTCTTAAAAGACGTCTTCCCTTATGATTTTTTGTGTTGTATCCAATCTGAATCGGTCACCAGGATCAAAAGTTTATTCTTCTAAGCTTTCACATCCTTGGGAAACTTCTCTCTCTCCAGAGTCTGTGCACTGGGCTGTTCTATGCTATGTATTTATATGGGGCCTAGTTGTGGGTAACTTGTTAATTAGGGTGTTGATGGCCCACTATTATGTCCTTAGATATTGTTTCTTTGTGGCTTCTAAGTATCAGATAAGCTAGATAAATCAGCACTCCTATTGACTGACAAGCGACCTCAGACATCAATCATTTCTCTTGCCTCAATTCGCAATGGGAATCCCTTTAGTGTTTCTCCTGGTGGGCTTTTCGAGGTTTTGCTGCCTTTGAGGTTGCAATAGATTCTCTTGCTGTTTGGGGCCTGTGTGTTTATGGCTTTCCACTTCTCTTGTAGACTCCCTGGCTGTCAACACTTCCTGTTATAAAAAGGCTTAGGGCAATACAAGTACAGAAAGCTAAGGGATTTATTTCACCCTAGAGAAGGGATTGCATAATTAAAGACCGGACATATGTCTGCAGATTGTTGATGATTTTGAAACAAAATAATACTACACTTACACATATGAGAAGGTCACCAAATTTTTCTTTTCTGTTGAAGAAATTCATTAAATGTCATCTGATTAAAGCAGGAATGCTGGAAAAACTTGTAGGATCATTATAACATAATTCCACAACCATAAAGGAGCTTGTTGTAGCCCATCTGAATTGAGTTTGGGATTGTCTGAAAGTTCTTCAGGACCCTTAGCTAAGTTGCTACTTCACTTAGCCACCATTGCATGATTCATTCAAGAAACCATAGCTAAGGATTCTTTAGCAGGACAAACCATTGTAGTCTTTGCTGGCTCTGGTGAGAACGTTCTCAACTGGAATTCAGGGGCCCATACTTCTGTGTGAAGATCATTTGCCAATCATATGGGATGAAGAAAGGACCACAGATCAGGGAAAGTGTGCAAGCTTCTAATGAAAACGAAGTAGAGCATAAAATAATGGAGTCAGAAGAGATCTTGGAGGTCTTTTAGTCCAATCTCCTGCTTGAGCAGGAGACCCCATACCATTCTAGTCCAATCTCTTTTTGAAAGCCTTCAGTGATAGAGCACCCAGAACTACTGAAGTCAAGCTGTTCCACTGGTTGATTGCTGTCACTGTTAGGAAATTTCTACTTGGTTCTAGGTTACTTCTCTCCTTGGTTAGTTTCCTTCTTTGTTTCTTGTCTTGCCATTTAGTGCTTTGGACAATAGTTTGACCCCCTTGTCTTTGTAGGAGCCGCTCAAATATTGGAACATGCTATCATGTCAGCCGTAGTCCTTCTTTTCATTAGAATACCCATACCCAATTCCTGTAACCATTCTTCATATGTTTATAGCAATAGCAGTAGACTTAGTCTCCAGCCCCCTAATCATTCTTGTTGTATCAGGTTTGATTTTATAATTAAGGGCTAGGTAGCTAAAATTCTTTGGGGGACACTAAAGAACCACTGCCTACTTATGGTTGGATCCAATTTTCCATGTGCATTTCGTCATGTTCCCAGGTGACATCTCCATTGTTCCATCGCTTCTGTGATTTTATAGGCTCTTCCCCCACCCCTTTTTTCTTCCCAGTGATTACCGGTATGTGGCCGCTGCGCTTGCTGTCATGAGGAACGTGACCCAGCAGATCAACGAACGGAAGAGGAGACTGGAGAACATAGACAAGATCGCTCAGTGGCAGGCATCCGTCCTGGATTGGGAGGTAGGCGGTCCTCCTTCCAATATTTCACTTCTGCCTGTGGCTCAGTTCAAGACTTCAGCGCAGATCAGACTTTCCTTTCCTGACAGCTGACCTCTGGGGATGTGTGCTTGATTGATATAGGCAATTTATGCCCTGCATTTTCATTAGGGAATGGCTTCCCCACTCTCCCCAAGTTGTGTTGCTTTGATGTCTGCATTGTAGACATTTTAGGGAGGGCCATTGCTCATTAGGAAACTCAGGGGTTTCTTTAGCTCAAGGCCTCCCTTCCCCGTTGAGTCCACCGTGATTAAGTTAACTTGGGCAGATGCATGTGAAACTCCTGCAATGCGCTGATGTTTAATGAGCCTCATCTTTGGTTAGTTACAGCTACCACAGTTAAAATGCTTAGGGTTCTTTCCCTGTTTCCTTCCTTGGACTTTCACGTGTATTTATCTAAATTGTCGTTGCACTTAGAGCCTCCTTTTTCCCAGGAATTAAATGCTGTAGAGGAGAGATCTCTTCCTGCTTTTACTCCTACAACACTCCCACGAAGACAGATGAACCGAGAAGCTGTATCTGGTCAGCTGTCTTAGTCATAACACTATTAATAACTGTTTCTCAGGAGGTGAAGCTAAGAATTGGACTTCAGTGATTTACTTGGTTTTTATTGGGCTTTGGTTGAGAGCATCTTTTCAGAAGCCTGTGTTTACAGCTTGTGTACCATGGTCTTTTATTATTATTACAGGTAGTCCTCAAATTACAACAGTTCATTTAGTGACTGTTCAAAGTTACATCATTGAAAAAAGGACTTATGACCATTTTTCACACTTGCGTCCGTTGCAGCCTCCCCATATCATGCAGTCAAAATTCAGACAAGTGGCAACTGACTCACATTTATGATGTGGTTGTCGTGTCCTGGGTCATGTGATCCCTTTTTGCAACCTTCTAACAAGCAAAGTCAATGGGGAAGCCAGATTCACTTAACAAACATGTAACTAACTTAACAACTGCTGTGATTCACTTAACAGCTGTGGCAAGAATGGGGCAAAGCTTACTTAACAAATGTCTCGCTTAGCAAGATAAAGTTTGGGCTCAGTTGTGGTTGTAAGTCAAGAACTACCTGTATTATGGTACACTGCACAGCCAGCCCGATGTTTAGACTAGATTTGACATTTTTGGTCCCCCTATCGAGTCCTTCCGAAGGACCCAGGATAGGCAGGTGTTCTTCTTTCATGGTGTCAAAGGTCTCATCATCGCAGGATGTAAGCTGTTCTGACTCAAGCTGCCTTTTGCAATTGACAACTGGTGAGTTTGTCAAGGCTGGTGCTATTCAAATGGTGCTCCGGATATTTTGAGATTGCACCCAAGGCACCTATGACTATTGAGGATAGTAGTAGTAGTAGTAGTAGTAGTAGTAGTAGTAGTAGTAGTAGTAGTAGTAGTAG